TTAACAATCTTACCAACTGAAGATTCGATTCACTTAGAAGTATTTAGAAAATAACAGCTTAAGGCAGGTAATTACCAATTACCAATAACCTTACAATAATATATAAGCTTACAAAACTTAAGTCAAAAATATGAAAATTTAGTTAACAAGCTTTTATAAACTTTAGATATGATGGAGACGATTTGTAGCTCATGTGGGTGATTTTGATATGGTTGTGTTCTCTCAGCTGGATTGTTTATTCGTGAAGTTTTCATTGCCTGCCCTACTAGGCAAGATCTTTAGCGCACACTTTAATTCGTTAAAGTGAGCTTTTAGATTTCTCCACGAGTTTATAAGTCATCTCTCCTGGTGGGTGACCTTGAACGTGATTAGTTGTTTTCGTGTGTTCTCATACCCTCTAGGTTACTTGTGGTATTGGTACTGATTGTTCCCTTGACTTAAACTTTCACTCTTTGTGTGTGAGACTTCCTTGTTATCGATTGGTAAATTTTGTCCACGTCAATGTGCCTGTTAATTTCCGATTCACTGGAATACCAGGCCGGCTTCCAGAAATTCTCTGGTGTTCTTGGTATTTTCTCTGTCTAATAATCGAACGTTGTCACGGTCAAATTGATGTCGGTGGTTATCTGTCTTTTGATGGCTAGTCTATGTTCATAGATTTGAAGAAGACGAAGGGGACGTCCTTTTTGGCCAATGTGGTGTTTTTTGCAGCCAATGCAACTTATTTCGGAGATGACGTTGGTTTCATCTTCTCTCGTTTTTGAATCTTTTGGTTGATATAGAGCCAGTAAAGTGAAGTGATTTTGTCGGTTTGTGTGAGAAATCAATTCCTGAAGGTTTGAAGAGTCTTTCAGTGATTTCTGAGATGCATTTTATGAATGATTAGGTAATTTTCTTTGTCAAAAGAATCATTACTGAACAAAGAATTCTATTTTCGATAACTTCATCATCAGGCTCTACAGTTATATATACGTTATGGTGAATGAATTAGTATTATGAACAACATTAATGTTAAATAAAGTATAATTATATTTTAATAGTTTACACACAATGATAAGTTTTGTTATTGGTAATTTTGCTCGAAATATTACCAATAACAAAACTTATCATTGTGTGTAAACTATTAAAATATAATTATACTTTATTTGATCTAATCCACAATGCTCAAACTTTTTACTGATATTAACATTAATGTTGTTTAAATAGTATCGAATCAATAGTTATATCACTGGATTACAGTTCAGTAGCATCAACATAACAATAAACTGAATGTCAGAAAATTAGGAAAGATAATAATACAAATTCATGTATTTATACTCTCCACTTAAGGCCAAGATAGTAGTAGGGGCTGGACTTGCCTCTTTCGCAAACAAAGCACTAGTTGTTTCACGTGAATTGCGATAGCCTCTGCTGTTTGGAGCATGCGGTACTTCGACGTCTTTGGCAATTTATGTCGCACTCAGTGGATGATAGAGGAGGGTTCTTCAATGCTGGCTTATTGGCTGGTTTGCACCAGATGGTCTAATATCGAACTGTTGATGGCTTTTACTACACCTCCACTTAGCCATACACGGAGATGTTCTCGAGAATGAATAATGGAGTTCCTAGAGCAACGGCCGATATAACTCGCTCCACCACAAGCGCAGTTGAATTGGCAGATACAGTTAGAAGTAGCTAGACTGTGTACTTCATCTTGCAGTCGAAAAATCCCATCGGTCGTGTAGGGAATAAGAAATATATTTTGCCAGCATTTAGAGTTCTTTGAACAGATTTTCTTAATTTCTTCATAATTATCTCACTTGATATACTGCCCCTGAATTGCAGTTGTATGTAAAAAGGCATATTTCTTGCGGATAGTCAGTAGTCCTTTTTCGCTTTCTTTGTCACCCTTGAACCAACTGTGGTGAGAGCTGGTTGCTAGCCAAATCGGTAGACAGTAATTTACGTCCATGTTTAGGCCCTTAATATTGGTTGCGAGAAAAATGTGAACGAAGACTGATTCAACAACCAACCACAGCAGACTTCGCGTAGGCGGATACAGTTAGCATTTAGATGATCTGACATTCAAGAAAGAGATGAAAGATTAACTTTCAGTGAGAAACAACCAATCTGCTAACAATAATCTATAATAATGTACATGAAAATCTATAAATATATGTTGATTTTGTGAATAAACGATCTGTTGCCTGGCCCTTGTCTTCTGTTGTTACACAACGACCAACTCGTCATAGTGAGTCCCATTCGAGCCATGGCCTGACATGCAATGTCACCCAATAGTTTCCTCAGTATATCCTATCCATCTCAATTTTCACCTTTATATTTCACCTTCATCAACAGGATCTTAAGTGGTTTATTGTCATAGTTTCTTGTCGCTAATTCTTTCCGGTCAGTCATCCAATCTTCAGCATGGAGTCAATGAAGCTAGCTGCTGAGAAAAGTTCGAAAGGATGGCTTTTAGAAATGCAAAAGCACTGCACACCCAGTGCAAGTTACTGACCCATATAGAAGAAGTGACTGATTTGACATTATCGTTAAAACGTTTAATTTTGTTGTTTGTGATGAGTAAGTGTAGGATAATTTCTACACTGATTAGATTCTCCTTTTGACATCCTCACTCGTGTTGTCACCTGTAGTAGGAATGATGCTATTTGGCTGGAAAAGTGAGGGAATTAACCTCTTTCCAAAATGATCCCTTTGAATGTGATTGGTGTTTGTTGTTCTTGGTGTTGTTGCTGGTTAGTTAGTTAACTTCATCACCTTCGTCTTCTGTAAATTCACTAGGCTATTATGAGTTCAGATTACGTATTCAAATCTAGTTCCACTTATAGATCAACGCATTGAATACTATGTTGACATGGACTATCTAGAGATTCTATAAGACAAGCAGTGAAGGTTAATAAAGCAAGATTTCATGAATTCAGCAAATTTCGGTAGAACTCGTCAGCTGAATACTCTGCATACACGGATATATGTACTTTTGAAATTACATTGGGAGATATAAGACTGATAAGTAAACAAACTACATTGAATTAGTCACGCAGAAAGACAGGTGCGAATGTTTTCCAGGTCATGTTCAAATAGATAAGGGGAAATAGAGTATGAGAGATCAAAATTACTATAAATCGCATTATGCTTCGATTACATCACTTAGATAAACAATAAGTCATTGGAGAATATAACAAGAATTGCGAACAGAGTAATGTCAATAATGGTAAAAGTTATAATAATAATAATAAAAGTTTTGAAGTGAGTTAAGATAATCCTACTGATAAAGCATTGTCAAGAAAGTTGTTATCCAATAAGCTGCTGAGTCAATACAGGCATATATTTTATTTTAGCATCAGTTCTGGCATGAAATTATTATTTCATTCACGTTTATGATACCCAGACGATTTGTTTGATCGCACTGATAAGCATCACACATATGTTCACTGAATAGACGAACCTATAGTCATGAGTTTCAAACTCACATCGGATGGTAAAGAAGTTTTAACCAGATCTTTCACAATGGTGTTATTAACATACACTTTTATTTAAAGTGAATAACATCACACAGTGTGTATTGACCTACTACTGGGTTCTCTCAATAACATGTATGTCTTATCAATTCACTCGACTAATAATGCACATTTAAAGAGTTCTCCTGTATGAATTTTTGAAGTCTCTTATTTATGAAAGAAAAGAGACTCGTTGTTTCATTTTAAATCTTTTTCACTGTGTTGTAGAATAAAGAAACTACAGTAAAAAGTGAAGTTTAAATTTTTTTTTTTCATTACTTTTCATCCTTTTGGTTTCCAGTGGAATATGGATAGGGCTGCAACAGTAAATCTACACTTCATCCTGTTCTCTGTAGTTCTCTTTAGCTGGCCTGATGACTACTCATCAGCTCTAATCTCTTCCTTACATGATCTCTTCCATTTCACCTTCAGATACCAACAGATACCGTTTCGCCTTGTGGTTCCACTGGAAAGAATGCTTGGCGCATGATTCCACCCAACATTCTTCTCAATGTATGTTGGATCCGTATGTATTTTTCTCCCTTCGAAAAATTTATTGGGCTGTAGGTTCTTTGTCGGCCGATTTCCTGACTTCCTTCTTGCTTATCCATTTTGATTGGCCATCTTATCTTCTCTATGGAGTGAAAGCAGCTATTGATGAAAGTTTACAGCGGGCTGCTGGAAATGGTTTTTGTGACGCACGTGCCAAGTCTCTCAACCATATGGAAGTACCGACTAAATCTTAGTGATGGAAATCTGACTCTTGTTCTTTATGCTGATTGTAGCAGCTTTGTAAAGTGATTTCAGAGTAACCAATATATGAAATCAAAACAAGGGATTCAGTGAAGAGACTCTTTTCAACGAATTTATACCCGGTGAGGAAATTGAATCATAGGTGTGAATGCATGGAATAATAATAATAGTAGTATGAAATGCAGTTAAAGAGAATGAAGAACAACCATCTCATTCGTGAAGAACTGTACGAAAAGATCAGACTAACAGGATCTCTAATACCAAGACTTTATGGTCTACTGAAGATACACAAAGCTGGCCTTCCAATCCTCGCTATCTTGGATATGTCTGGATCACATTATCATCCAGTATCTGGGTGGTTAGCTGAAATCCTCGAACCTGTCAGGGGTCCAACTATCTAATCATTCTCTTCGGGACACCTTCCAATCTGATGAATGTATACAGGATACGAATGCTTAGAATAAACATATGTTGTCTTTGAATATAGAACCCCTATTTACGAATGTTCCACTGACAGAAACCATATGTTTTATATGCATATATATTGAAGACAACACATTCAATATAGGCATACCCACTAAAGATCTGAAAGAACTGCATTTGAGATGTACATTGAATGTACAGTTTACTTTCAATGAAACTGTCTAGATACAGAAGTGTTGTAATTATTTGTAATTGTAGTATTAGTATTTCGAGATGACAGAATTACACGAAACCAACCAAAACACAGAGAGGGTGGAATTCAGGAATTTGTATTTAGCGGAATTATAATGCAATTCATATAAGAAATATATTAACAATCAACAGTAAGTATTGAAACAATACAGAGATAGAAATGGTCAATCACCACAAGAAGGATGGTATTGCAATGTGTTCTGCCCTGGGTCTTCTCCTTGCAGACTGTTTTATGTCCAGTCTAGAAAATGGTCGGTTGAAGCCAACAATCCAAACCTTTCAAATGTATAAAAGGTATGTAGATGACACCTTTATTATTTGTTACGGTGATTGTAATTTGAATAATATATTAAATGTATTTAATGGTTGCCATCCTCCGATAAAATTCACACTCGCAAAGGAGAACGAGTCTAGCATTCATTTTCTCGATGTTAACTTATCAAGGAGGACCGATGGAGCTCTGAAGAGATCGATTTATCGAAAGCTGTCATAGATGGTAAACTGACAAATTTCTACAGTTGGGTACCCATTGATCGAAAACGAAACCTGGTCCAGTTGCTTGCCACTCGCATTCGGGGAATATGTAGCCTTGATTCTGTGGATGATGAGTTATACATTTTGAGGAAAATCCTAATAGAAAGTGGATTTCCACCGCGATTTATAGACAAGAATACACATTCGAATCCTATAAAACCTGACTTAACACGCACACCCAAGAAAGTACTGTAAATGAGCTTGGAATTCAAACATGGCATAGCTTCTGATATCATGAAAAGAAGGATATCACAGTCCCTGAAAATAATATTCCCTGTTAGTTGACCATTACTGTTCAATAACCTGAAGGACAAGATTCCGCTGCTGACCAACTCTGTGTGTGTTTATCAGTTCACCTGCTCGTGTGGAGCTAGATATATCTGTCGTTCGACTCGAGTTTTGTCCAAAAGGGTGCAAGAACACTATCCTGCATGGTAGTTATGAAGAGGTGGAAGTGCAGCGATAAGAAGCGTGATCATTGAACGTCTAGTCGATAATGATCACCCTATCTCTATAACCTCCGCCTTTAAAGTCATCTACAAGGCAAAGAGTAATCTACCCAAACCATTATGCGTCCGACTCATCTATATTGCTGAAGCTTTGGCTATCGAAACAGAAAAGCCAGATCTCTGTGTACAGAAAAAGTTTGTTCAACCCCTCCACCTTTCATGACCTTAATTACTCTATGCTAAAGTAAAGTAATCCCCGATTATATTTTAGCTCTACCAGTGTTTCTTTTTTTCCATTTTGTCTATTCAATTTGTTTTCTTTTCCTTTGTTACGTCAATTGTTTCTATTACTACTCTGAATGTGAGCTGTCCCCTGTATTATTTCACTTGTCATTCTAAATCAACTCTTTTTTACAACGTTAAATTCTACGCTATCAAATTTCACACAATATTACTTAACGTTTTCATATTATTCGATTTGTCTACTAATCCTATAATTGCGCACCCTTTTCAAATTCTATACATCCTATGAATTATTCTATATATGACATTGATTGTTTTGCTCTTTGACATCTAAATATGATTATAATCACAAACATTTTAATTTTTAATTGCATTTCATACTACTACTATTATTATTTTATGTATTCACACAGATAATTCAATTTACTCACCGGTTATAACTTCCTAAACACAATATGTATATATATATATATATGATTGTACAGCTTGATGATCAATTTGTTGAAAAAGAGTCTCTTCGCTGAATCACTTGTTTTGATTTTCTACATGTTACAATGGGAATTTTCCATGAGTTAAAAAAAGACAGAATACTTAACACAATTATAATACTTTGATCAAGCTACTAGCAATAAATAGCGAAACGTCAGTAAAAACAATATCGTTTTGTTTTTCATTCTTCGGGAAATATAAAAACCTTTACTATAATGAATACTTACCATAATTTAATCATGAGCTGACATCAGTTAGAAAACCACTGGAAAACCTGGGAGTACTGGACAGCCGTGTCAGCTCATGATTAAATTCCTCCATGCAATCAAACAAAATCCCTACAAAAACCAATACTTACCATAATCTCTACTTCAGAATGCTTGAACCTTTAAAAAGCAACTTAAGGCTATCCACTGTGACTACGTGTATGAATAAGTTTATATCGTTAAATTAAACAACTTAAACTTAATTTCATCATGAGCTGACATTGGTTAGAGAACCTGGGAGTAATAGACAGCTGTCTCATCCTAGTTTGGGACTCTTCATCAGTACGCAACCACCGGGGTTCGAACCCAGGTCCTTCCGGTTACAAGGCAAGCTCGTATACCATTAAGCCACTGGGATCCCGTTCAGTGGCTCATGAATTCTAACTCCTACCAATTCGTGATTTAGCGCGACCCCAACCAAACTATAGAAAATTAATCTTGCTACAGGATGGAGTTTCCTGGTGTTTTAGTGAGAAGTCGTGACCAGTGAGGTCCAATTAGATGTCACATGTGTGGATGGATGTCCCACCAACGACAATGGTTGGGGTCGTGCTAAATCACGAATAGGTAGAAGTTAGAATTCATGAGCCATTGAATCGGGTCCCAGTGGCTGAATGGTATTCAGCACTAATTAATCAAACGTGGTCTAAATTCCAGGTTGTCTATATCTTCTTGTGGAAAGGCTAACAAATGTTTTACAACTGTTTACCCCCGCCCACACACACACACACCATTGTATACTGCAAATACACACATATATTTTCATGTTCAGTTATCTACAACCATGTACTTTTAGTCGAACGTAATCTGATGAAAAGTAAACTCTGTTTAAAGTGTTTAACATAAGCAGATCAATATTTGTAAATAGAAGTTCTCGAATTGTACATCAGTGTCAATCTGACTAATCTCCGTACGGATATCACAAAACCTAATCCCTAGAGATCGTATCCAGAAAAATCGATATCCTAAACTCTATTGGAAATCATTACGTAGAAACAGAATACCACAAATTAAAATGACTTTAAAACGACATGCACTTAATCAGCTCGAATCAATACATTCTGATATTACTCAATTGGAATTAAATATATCACAAAGGAATTATGCACTTCTCGACCTTCCAGAGGATATGAGACTACAATTTACGCAATATGTCGACGAAATCACCGAATCTAATTCCTCGAAAAAACGAACACAACTGATGAAAGGCTTAGAAAGCCGAACTCCGGAATGTAGATTTCCAGCTAATCCAGAAAGGTACGTCCGTAACTTTTCCAGTGTGATTCTTGACAAACTACAACTTGAAGCGTTATCTCTAGTGATTAAGTTTTGTGATATCCATACGGAGATTAGTCAGACTGTCACTGATGTGCAATATTTGTAAGTCTGAGGTCAAATTGTGATCACAGTTCATACAATTTTGTTTATTACACATGTTGATATTTGTTTTATGACTCATATGAATGGACAGAGTTTTTAAAAACAAGAGATGTCGGTTTTATACATAAACCTCTGTTACGTTAATTTCGATTAATTTCCCTGAAAAAGTTCGGACCAGTTTGCCAAACGAAACATTGGAATTACTCATTTCAATTTCGGTGAAATTTTGCAAATATAATTTTTACAAATGTTTACTTCTCACTCGGTGCCCAATTATTTTAGAACTACTCTGTCAAATCCTGACCACAGTTCATATGAATTGTTTTGCAATCAAATTAAATTAACCAAGAAACTGTGTAATTGGTACAATCAGAGTGTTTTCACTCTGCGTTGTCTGCAACAAAATGCAAATCCTAAATCCATAGCTGTCAAGTCGCCTGACAACTCCAGGTTGATTACTGAAACTTTGATCATCTAGTCTACACCCAACACATGTAACAGAAATGACTCAATGCAAATACCAGAGATATGCATGAAAGATATTATTACCACCAGCCAAATCAGAGGAGGATAATAAATAGTCTTAAAATTCTATTTCACTTCACGTACATTATAACATTCTAACAAGTTACTTATTTTTACAATAAAAACATCTTATTTCCCATCTGGTTGTATTTTATTGATAACAATCATGTTACTTCCGAATGTACTTTATCTTATATTGATTTTTTATTGAAGTGTCTTGTCAATTTGACTCATGTATATAAAGGAGGAAAAAGATGTGTGAGTGACTTGATATGATTATAAGTGGCAATAATTTGTGCTCGAAACGTGGTTATCAGTAAATATTACTGTATAACACCACTGTGATTTGATCAAAGTAGAATTTTATCCATAATATAGTTATACCATACCACAGTGCACAAGTTTTATCCTTATATCAATAATGCATTATAAATTTTAACAACACCATTCCACTATTGCACATCAATTTGTTTATTAGATATATCGCACAGTATGAAATAATATTATTATTTACTGGTTGACAATATTTCAAACACAATTTATCGTTCATAATCATGTCAGTTATAACTACATAACTTTGAAACTTCAATTTTATAATTTTCTCTATTCCTTCCTGTTCGTTGTAAGGGTAATAAAATTTTCCACATATCCTAAACAGGTGTTGAATCATCTCTGCTGCACGTATTTTCAGTTGATTCGATAAATAAAGCTTCCGTTATCAATCAGTCTTCTCCTCCACCCGGTTATTATTATTATTTATTGCTCCCTTGGGTTCCTAGTGGAACATAGGGCTTCAACTGCACGTCTCCATTTTCTTCTGTCTTCTGCAATACTTTTCGCCTGCATCCATGTTAATCCATCTTCTTTCAACTCCTCTTCACACGATCTCCTCCATGTCACCCTTGGACGTCCCACACGCCGCTTCCCTTTCGGGTTCCACTCGAGCAATGGCCTGACGCGCGCGCGATGTCACCCAGCGGTCTCCTCAGCGAGTGTCCGATCCATCTCCACTTTCTCCTGCATATTTGTTGGGCGATTGGTTCTTGCTTTGTTTGTTCCCATAATTCCTTGTTGGTGATTCTTTCAGGCCATCTGATCTTCAGTATTGAGCGAAGACAGCTGTTAATAAAGGTCTGCAGCCTTTTGGAAATATACTTTGTGACCCGCCAAGTTTCTGATCCGTATAGAAGAACTGACTTTACGTTTGTATTGAAAATCCGAATTTTGTTGGTGATGCTGAGTGACGAAGATTTCCAGATTGATTTCAGGCTGATGAATGTGTTTCTCGCCTTCCCGATTCTCACTCGATTTGACATCCTCGTCCGTTCCGACTGCATGTAGCTGAGACAATGCTCCCTAGATAAGTGAGTGAATGAAGTAACCTCTTTCA